CAAATTAAAATATATTTGTATTTGCAAATCTATGTGATAAAGTTTTGAACCTGGTAGAACCAGAAGCTGCTCTTCATATTAGTGACGAACGTTGGCATTTTTGTTTGACGAGTTACTTTCATTTTTGCTTCTTCTTTTCATTTAAAATAAGTTTCCATTCTCAGCAGGTTTCTAAGGTTCTTCTTCTACATATTAAAAAGTTGTTAAACATCTGAGTGGTGCACTACTGCTACTAGTGGTGAGAAAGTGTATTGCACCTTATTCAAACTCAATGAGGTCCTGCGGCCCTCTGCGGCCCAAAGTTAAAAACTGTTGTTCTTCTGAGGCCCTGAAGGTGGCRCTCGTGACCCAGGCCCATGGGTTAAGAATCTTTGTTCTGAACACCCAAATTATTTATCATAAACAAATTAAAACAATAAATGACTTCATAAAACAGCGGCACGGTGGCTCAGTTAGTGGAGCTGAAGCCGCTCAGCAAGAAGGTTGCCGGTTCAAATCCCGGCCCGGGGTCCTTTCTGGGTAGAGTTTGCATGTTCTTTCCGTGCATGCGTGGGTTTTCTCCGGGCACTCCGGCTTCCTCCCGCAGACCAAAAACATGACTGTTAGGTTAATTGATAACTCTAAATGGTCCCTAGGTGTGAGTGAGACAGTGAATGGTTGTTTGTCTCTGTGTCCCTGTGATGGACTGGAGACCTGTCCAGGGTGTACCCCGCCCCTCACACTGTGACTGCTGGATATGGACACCAGTGACCCTGAGATAAAGCGGGTAAAGATAATGTATGAATAGACTTAATAAAACATCAATTTGGTTATAAATAGATTTATGTACACTTCTGGTTTCAATACAATCTTTAATCTTGAGAATAAGTTTATAAATAATCCGTTCTTAGGTTTTATAGTTCAGATTTTACATCCTGTTTTTGACCTCATGATAAACAGTCAKAATTATTTAGCCGCATGTCAGAATACTGAACAACCACAGCTCTGAACATTCTCACTTCCTTTTACAGAACAATCAAATTCAGTTTATATAACTAGCACCCTGTCTACCTCCTCAGGCTTTTACTCTTTCTGCAGCAAGGATTAGTATCTGATTATTACTCTTTCAGCCTACACTGTAAAAAATAACTTGTAAAATTTACTAGAGAAAATCCTGCAAACAATTTGCACTAACATTTGGTAAGTAAATTTAAATGCTACAAATTCATGTAATATTCACTCATCATTATCTAGTTAAAGTTGTTAAGAATATAGTTAAAGATTTGTGAATAAATCAGGTAAATTTTACTTAATTTGCTCAATTAAATCTTGTAACATATACTTGAGCATGACACCTCACAGCTACAGAGAGGTGTAGCTCGTGTTCAAGACTTCACCACCAGGTGGCAGTTTTGAAGAACCTTTATTGGATTCTTCTTCATGAACAACACAGACAAAGTGAAACTCACAGGTBTTATTAATGACTAGGCCTACCACTCTCACTTATGGTTACTTCTGCTGAACGCTTTAACACAAGTTAACAAATAATGAACACACAAATTAGAGTAACACAACAAACTAATTGCTGAAAGAACAATGTTAACCCATTCCCTAAAATGATTTGACAACAACAAACATGAATCTTACCCACAATCCTCCCCTGCAGTGTAGGGGTCACCTTGAGTGAAGAAACAAGATTTACTGCCTCAAAGTGGGCCTCGGAAAGGC